GCGAAGTTGTGCTCTGTCTCCGTGGTGCTTGGGGGGGGGGGTCAACAGTGGGAGGGCTTCTAGTGTCCTGGCCCCACTGGTGGCCTCCTGATGGCCCCTGGTATTTCTGGCCACTGTGTGACACAGTGTGTTGGGCTGGATGGGCCTTTGGCCTGATCCAACATTGGCGTCTCTTATGTTCTTATGTGGAGTGGGGAATCAAACCCGGCTCTCCCAGATTAGAGTCCATGCCCCTAACCCCTACACCAAACTGGACTATAACTAGAGGAAGGAGAAGCTGATAAAAGATATGACAGAGAGCAGGGTTGCCAGCCTCCAGGTGGGGCCTGGAGATCTCCCAGAATTACAATTGATCTCCGGACTAAAGAGATCAGTTCCCCCTGGAGAAAATGGCTGCTTTGGAGGATGGACTCTAGATGGCATTGCACACTGTTGAGGTCTCTCCCCTCCCCAGGCTCAGTTCCCCCAAATCTCCAGGAATTTCCCTAGTAAAGCCAGTTTGGTGTAGTGGGTAGGAGCGCAGACTCTAATCTGGGAGAACCGGGTTTGATTCCCCACTCCTCCACATGCAGCTGCTGGCGTGACCTTGGGTCAGTCACAAGTTCTCTCAGAGCTGTCCTCTCAGGAGCAGTCCTCGAGAGAGCTCTCTCAGCCCCACCTACCTCACCAGGTGTCTGTTGTGGGGAAGGGAAGGGAAAGGAGATTGTCAGCCGCTCTGAGACTCCGAGTGAAGGGCGGGGTACAAATCCAATCGCTGCTGCTTCTTCTCTTCTAGAGAGAGGACATTTCTTTGCCTCCCTCGTACAGTACCCGAGTTCAGGATCACCTGGTGAAACAGACTGGGAGCAGACACAGCAAGGAGAAAAGCTTGCGAGGAATTTACAACTCCGGGAATTGCATTCCACACCGTGATTCCCCCGTCTGCAATCAGACAAGGCGGAACAGACGGCGCAGCAGGTAAGCCGGGAAACGACCGGAGGTCACAGTCCGGCAGTGGGGCAAAGCTTCAAACCGTCCCCCCCCCCAATCCTCCCACGTGCAGGTGGGTTTAATCCTTCCTTTTCGGCTGAGGCTTCTGGAGGTGCTCCGCGGCCAGGTATCCAGCAGAGGCCCGGAACAGAGGCTGGAGGGGAAACAACGTCCCGTTTCACAGCAGGTGGGCATTTTTACACGAAGCCCGCCGCCCCCGCCGCCCCTCCCTTGAGTTCCGCAACAATTTCTAGCCCACAGAACTTGGCTACAAGCCTGCCTGCCTGATTTAACTCCTTTGTTATACCCCTAGCTTTTTCTAAAGCTTCTCTGCCTAGTCGCCAGACGGCAATCCTCACTCGCCGCTGCCGACCACGGCGGTTGGGCTGGATTAATCCAACGGCCTACAGCTGCTTTCTGGGCCTAATCAGAGGTGCGTACAAAAAAAAGTTTCAGTATTTTTCGGGTTCGGGTAAACCAAGCCCGAAAAATAGCGATATATACCGATATCCCCGAATCCCAATATCAGTAAGATAATGGTGCTCGGGAAACTTTGGTAATGCTGAATATATTCGGCCATTATAAAGGGCACTGGAGTCTTTCCTTCCCCAGCGCATCACCTCTAGTCAGTTTCACTCCCCCCGATCAGCAGGGGAGTGGAATTGAACAGCGGGGTGACAGCGGAAGCTAAGACTCATGAAGGAGGCATGCTTAAATGCGCCACTCCCTTCCCCAGCCTGCCTTTTCTCCCAGGATCGGGTTCCCCAGGCTCCCTGCAGCTGCAGGGCACCTGGAGAATCCGAGGGGGGGAGGCAGTTTAAACTGCCTTCCCTCCCAGGATCGGCTGCAGGGCCCAGGAATGGCAAGGCAGAACTGGTCAATTTCAGTGATATGAAACTGACCATTGCATTTCATCCCCGATTAGGGGCTCCGAATAAAAGCCAAATCAGATCGGCTTTTATTCGGGAGCACCTTATCGGCAGCCAAATCAGATTAGAGAATCTGATTCGGTTTAACTAATACCTGAAAAATAATGTTACGGTATTTTTTTTCAATTCGGCAAAGCCGAATGCACACCCCTAGGCCTAATACAGAGAGCTTTTGGGAGTTGGGTAGGCCCAACCAGGACTCCCTCTCCTCCACAAGCACCGCACAGAAACCCTTGGGGAGAAAAATTCACATTTAATGTGCATACAGAAAAGTGATTATTTAGGGGCAACTCTGCAGCGCACAGGACAGGAACGACAAAGGGCGGTGAAAAGACCACAAAGTTGCTTTCTGCTTCTTGGAGGGGAATGTCCAGCCAAACTGTGTTCTGTGAAACCGTAATCCCACCAGGAATGAATTCTTTTAGGCCCCCCCAAAGGCACACGAGGACACCTGCGGATGCAACATTCGTGGCTTGTGCCGCTGAGAAGATAACCCAGGAATCCTGGGTGTCCCTGACAAAGAGCCACACGTTAGAACCTCCCCCACACCCCCACACACACTCTCTGCCTCAGAGTCAGGGGCAGAATTTCTGCCTCTCAACAGGCGACAGAAGGAAGATGCCACGTCCTGGAGCGGGGCGGGAGCAAGTGAGGCCCCATTGGCCCGTACACCAGCCAATCAATCCATCTGGGAACAGGTGCCCTGACAGCAGAAGTCTTTCTTCCCCCCAAATGGCGATAAAGGAGCGTTGAGAGCCTTTGGGCAAAAGAGAGGAGCCCGGGTTCCACTCGGACAAGGCACGGCACGACGGGGGCTCAGGCCTCGACGCCATAGCGGTCAAAGTTCCGGAGGAGAACGGCCAGCTGAAGGTGGACAGTGCCCATCGCACAGGTCTGCAGGCGGTAGCGGTCGGCCCCCATGTAGATCAGGTCGCTGTTGAGCAACTGGGGGCCGCCCCCCACGAAGCGCTGGGAGAGCTGCTCCTGCCAGGAGCCCAGGGGGCGCCAGGTCACGCAGTCCAGGCGGTGGAAGCCCGGGCTGGAGGGCACGTGGCAGAAGCCATAGCCGTAGAGCTCGCAGCGCCCGAAGGAATCTTGGTGCCACACCTGGAGGTGGAGTTTGGGCCAGCCTGCCACGGGAGAAAACGAGAGAACGGCACAGAGTGATAGGCGAGCCTTCCGGAGCACTCGGCGAGCTTTTTGTCCGACAAGAGCCGTGCGAGGCAGGCCGCTATGATGGCGGCCGGAGAAGTCTCATGAGAACATAAGAGACGCCAATGTTGGATCAGGCCAAAGGCCCATCCAGTCCAACACTCTGTGTCACACAGTGGCCAAAACTACCAAGTGCCATCAGAAGGTCCATCAGTGGGGTCAGGACATTAGAAGCCCTCCCACTGTTGGGCCCCCCCCCCAGCACCAAGATGACAGAGCATCACCTGCCCCAGAGTCCCTATCTATACCTTGTGGCTAATAGCCACTGATGGACCTCTGCTCCAGATGCTTATCTAATTCCCTATCTAATTCCCTAAGTCTCAGGTTCCGCCATGCCTGGCCTTGGTGATGTGAAGGATGACCGCCATGGCCTACCTTGCAGGGCCTTAACCCTAACAATCCTAACCATAAGACCCCTACCCCAACCCTAACAACCCTACCCCTACCCCTAATAACCCTGACACTGATGACCCAAACCCTAATCAATGCTCCCTCTAAGCGGTGGAGTCTTGGGAGCAAAAATTCCCCTTTCTGAGCTACTGGCATTAAAGTTGTGAGCGAGCGGTTTGGCTGCAGCTGCATCAATTGCTCTGGAGCCATCCTTCCTGAACCGAGACAAAAATCCGTGAGCCGGAGGCTAAAAAGCAGTGAGCTAGCTCACAGTGATTCATCGTAGAGGGAACGCTGCTGGTCAGCACTAACGAAACAAGAAGACACGCGCAGTGCCTGACGTACTCAAAACGCACTGCACAAGTATCGGCGCTCGGCCCCAATCCTGCTCCCCCAAACCCTTTCCCCTCCTCCTCCGGCGTTTTACCCTCCGGGCCGAAGCCTGCCCCTGCCGCCCTCCCCCTCTCCCATTCGGCAGCCGCTTTTTCATCATTAGCAAAGGTGAAGGGGGTCCTTGCTTCCCCTCTCTCCCTTGAACGCTCTCTAGCTTCCATTCCGGCCACAGAAACGACCAGGGAAGGCGGGATTTATTAATCATGTCGAGCCTCCTCAGCCGGGAAGGAAGAGAGAGAGAGAGAGAGAGAGAGAGAGGCAAACAAAAAAGAGACTTTCAGCGGATCTTTCCCCCGTTGCCGGCCAGCCCCCTCCTCCCTCGCCCCTCCGGCTGAGCTGCGGCTCGGCTTAGCTGAAGCGGCGCTTGAAAAGGAGCCGGCGCTTAGCCGGGGACAAAAGGCAATCGCGTCTGGCAATTAATCCCCCGGGCAAAGCTCTTTTGTCTGACGACGTGTACGACAAACACGGATCCGTTTCCTTTGATACAGCCAATTACGTGGGGGGGGGGGGGTGAGGAAACATAATACGGAACGTGG